AGGCGACAAGACAGTTGGAGGAGGTGGTGATGCATTCAACACCTTCTTTAGTGAAACTGGAGCTGAAAATCATGTTCCTCGTGCTGTCTTTGTGGATCTTGAGCCTACTGTCATTGACGAAGTCAAGACAAGAACATACATGCAGCTCTTTTACCCTGAGCAGCTCATCAGTGGCAAAGAAGATGCAGCCAACAACTTTGCCCGTGGACATTATACAATTGAGAAGGAGATAGTTGATCTCTGCTTGGATCGTATCAGGAAGCTTGCCGATAACTGTACTGGTCTTCATGTTTTCCTGGTTTTCAATGCTGTTGGTGGTGGAACTGGTTCAGGTCTTGGGTCACTTATGCTGGAGCATCTCTCTATGGACTATGGAAAGAAATCAAAACTTGGTTTCACCATTTATCCATCACCACTGGTCTCAACCTCTGTGGTAGAACCTTACAACAGTGTCTTGTCAACCCACTCCCTTCTTGAGCACACTGATGTCGCAATTCTTCTTGACAATGAGGCTATCTATGACATTTGCAGGTGCTCATTGGACATTGAGCGCCCCACATACACCAATCTTAATCGTCTTATTTCACAGGTTATCTCTTCACTTACTGCTTCTTTGAGGTTTGATGGAGCCCTGAATGTTGATGTCAATGAATTCCAGACCAACCTTGTTCCCTAAGTTGCTCGGACTCGGGTGCGGGTATCCGAGACGGATGCGAATCCGAGAGTCGGATTCGGCAAAATTTAAATTTTAAGATTCGGGGGTGCGAATCCGAGTATGGATACGGGTGCGGGGATACGGCTAATTGGTATACATGGTATATATAATATAAGGTGTAATATATTATATATACATGGTATAATTGTTTATTATTTTTAGAGTACCTCGAAAAATAAATTATATCAATAACAACAATAATAATATATCTAGTATAATCAAATAAGTGGATATATATATAAAATAAAATATTATTAAAAATATTTATGAAATATATTTAATAATGAATTGCATATTTTGGTATAATTACATACAAAATAAAAGGAGTATAATTGTTAAAGAAAAGAGAGAATATAATAAACATTAAAAGTATTAATTTATTTTATAAATAAAAAAGGACACACTTATCTAGAGAAACCCTTAGCCTTTAGTTTTCTTTTTCAAGAAAAGTTGAAAAGACTTTACTTTTTCAAAAAAATAAAAAAGCTGTACTTCCTGTACTTTTTCAAGAAAAAACTCCTCCTCTTTCTTCTTCTCTTTACTTTTTCAATGAAGAAAAAACTCCTCTTTCTTCTTCTTTTTACTTTTTCAAGCTTCTTACAGCTCCGCCGCCTCTCTGAAGAGGTCGCCGGAAACTGATCTCTTTTTCCCCAAATTTTTTTCTCGGCTCTGGTCAAAGTGTCCGGATCGGATTGACCGAATCCGACACGCACCACGCACCCGCACCCGCACCAGTGTCGCGTCGAGACGGGTTCGCCTTCAAAAATGAAGAGTCCGCGCAACATAGCTTGTTCCCTACCCCAGGATTTATTTTTTTGCTTTTATCTTATGCTCTTGTCATTTCAACCGAGAAAGCCAACCATGAGCAGTTGTCAGTTGTAGAGATCACCGACCGTGCTTTTGAGCCATCTTCCATGATGGTCAAGTGTGATCCTCGCCATGACAAGTACATTGCTTGCTGCCTTATGTTCTGTGGTGATGTTGTGCCAAAGGATGTGAATGCTGCTGTGGCTACCATCAAGACTAAGCGCACCATCCAATTTGTTGACTGGTGCCCTACTGGATTCAAGTGTGGTATCAACTATCAGCCAACAATTGTTGTTCCTGGAGGTGATCTTGCCAAGGTGCAAAGGGCTGTGTATGTATGATTTCCAACTCAACCAGTGTTGCTGAGGTCTTCTCACGCATTGACCATAAGTTCGATCTGATGTATGCCAAACGTGCTTTTGTGCACTGGTATGTTGGTGAGGGTATGGAGGAAGGTGAGTTCAGTGAAGCACGTGAAGATCTAACTGCTTTGGAAAAGGATTACGAGGAGGTTGGTGCTGAATTGGAAGAAGGAGAGGATGATGATCACGAGGAATACTAAACACATGATGGGGCTTTGTTTGTTGGATGTATTTTCCTTTGGGTGTTCTTCAATTGCTGCACTAGATACATCATTGCTATTTTGTATTTTAATGGTGTCGTGTTTGCTGAAATGAATTCTTCTGCTATGAAAAGTTAAACTTGCTTGTTTGATTAAAAAAAAGGCAGGAATTGGGGCAGATGTTTCAAATTTTCCATTAATAATACCTTTTAACCGTTAAAAGAATAGACATAATATTTAAAAAGATTAAACAAATCCCTGGATAACTAAAGCATTTCCTGCTACAAAACAGTGAAGAATTCAACTTTCAAATATCACATTCTCGACAAAAAAAAAAAAAAGAAATCCTGTAAATCCCCTCATATCAAAAATCCTCAAATCACTTCACTTGATTTTCACAACTTTAATTTTTACCCAGTAACTTCAATCACAAAACCCACCTACATTTCCCTTGCATACACAAATTTATACAAGAAACCCCATAACCAACAAACAAAAATGTGAATCATCAAGCCAGTAATAAAAAAAATATACAAAAAAGAAGATAAAACCCAGTACTCCAATTATTTTCCTACAATAAAAAAAATACACATAATAAATAGAGACCAAAAACAGAGAAACACTCACAAGTTTGGAGGAATGAGAAATCGAGTATATGAGTAGAGACCGATTCGGGTTATTAGAAAGTGCCCGTCATCTTCAGCATTCAATTTTCCGGCCTGATTAGTCTCCAACCCCGATGAATTCGCAACCATTGCTTGTCTTCGCCACTGCACTCGAAACGATCAAAAATTTAAATCCTTATCAAGAAAACGAAGAAGAAGAAGAAGAAGAAGAAGAAGAAAGCCGTTATCTGTAATTATGAAAAATGTGAAGTAATAAATACGTTAGTAGCGGACAATGTTTGGGCCCACTAAAAATCATATGTTCAAAATTTTGTGAATGAATTTCACAAGCCGTTTTTCAAGAATTTTTTCTTTCAAATCAAATATTTTAAGAATAATACAATACTATGTTAATTTGTCCTATGTTCAAATCTACACTTCACCAATTTTTTTTATAAATAGTTGATTTACATTCTTTTTGAGATTTTATTTCTCTTAGAATAATTTTCAAAAATGAAATTGTATGTTACTCCATCATCCATATTTTTATTTTTGGAGTTAATTTTCATCAATTGCATATTAAAATTACTTTTATTTCATAAAATGCCAGTTGAGAGAGAAGAAAGTTTTTGACGTGTTTAATATTCTTTTGAGAAAAATAGAAGTAGATGAATGATATTTTTATTCTAAAAGAAACACAAGTAATTTTTATAGACAATTCTTAAAATAAGAATGAGCATCCATATAAATAACTCTTTAATTGAAAAATAAAACTTATTTTCTCAAATAGAAGTAATTCTCCCTTAGTCTCAACATATATGATATACTTTAATGTCATATTTTATACTGATTAAAAATAACTTAATTATTAACCTCTGAAATGATTCATAGTTAGAAAAATATCTAACATTGATTTAGACCATAAATTTCAAAACTATTCTTTTTTTAAAAAAGAAAAAATATGTTAAATTAAACGATACCACATACATTGAGACGAGATAATATTGTATATATAGTACAACATTTTGTCATATGATTTGAATTGATACTTCAAGGAATGGTCAGCAAAGTTTTGTCATTTTTGTTGGTCATTGCTCTTTAGATAGTCCAAAAGTAATAATTCAAATATTTATACACTGTTAACATGCTAAAGAAGCTATGAACATTGTTTTGCCAATAAAAAAATAATGAAAATCCATAGATTCTCTCTACTTTGAAAAAGTAATGATTCAAACAATGTTGATCCAATAGATTGCTAGTAGTAATTTGTTAAGTAGTAGATATATGTTTCAATTAATAATAGTTATTTTAAAAAGTCACTCAATTTTTTTTTTTTTTTTAAAGAACCACTCTACGAGGGAAGATGTAGATAAAAGGTCAATAGCCTGAACATCATAAGCTTTAGATTTATCAACAGGCGACCACAAATCATAACGTACTCTTCGCACAATAAATCCACTTTGAAGTTGACTTATTTACTCGGCCAGTCGTCGAAATGTGTACGAGATACCATAAGGGCCCAATATCTCAATAGCACCTTTGTCTAAAGGTTCGAAGGAGACTTCACATCCGAAACACATGAACGATCTGACTACAAAGTTATTCAAAACTTGATCGATCCAAGAACTAAGAGCGGTAGAAGTCTTATCTTAGGGAACAAGCTTGAAGGCTAGTGGTCATATTATTCGTCTAAGGGGCAATGCCTTTTCCGGGCCTATCCCCATTCGTCAATCGCTTTCTTGAGTTGATGTTTAACTTGCACCAAAATCCATCTCTATGTTCGCTAAACTTGCTTCCTTTTTTTCTTTCATCAAAGCCGACCTTAACAAACATCTCTTCCATTTTCGGCTCTTCCTATTCCATACCATAAACACACACCTTTGCTTCATCGACATTGGCGCTAAAGGCTCTACCCCCGCCCACCAGCCCTTTATGGAGTTAGCCGACCAAGAGAAAAAATTCCCAATATAATAAAGAAGTAAGAAGGGTTCCGGACATTTACAAAAAAAAAAAAACAAACTATATACAGTTTGAAAATTGAAATGTTGTTATTACAATTTAACCATAATATTATCATAGGGAAGAAAACTGTGTTTTTCTACCGTAGTATATATATATATATATATATATTTATATTTACACACTTCGGACTAAAAAATGCTCACCTTCTACGGCATGAACATTTGTCAGATAGGTTAGCGATAACAAATCCAGCGAAAACCTTGAAAACAGAAGCAGAAGAGAATGGTGTTAATGAACTTGAATTTGTAACATGTTAATTTTTCTCAGTTACTAAAACATACTCCAAGCATGTAGAAAAGTAATAGCTTTATTGAAGAAAAACCTGAATGCATCCAAGAATGTACACTGCAGAGTAACGACGTCCATGAACTAGCATGTCAGCGATCATAGCAAGGGGTATGGTCAATGACATGCCCAGTGTAGCAACTAATGGTGTTGTCCATACTACTGAAAGAGCCCTGTTTCATATTTCCAGAAATTACGTGTGTTAATCTAAAAACATATAGAGCAAAATATGATATCAATGTAGAGAAAAGAGAAGGGCAGATTCTGGAAGAGTTTGAGCAACACAAATTTAAGATAGTGATCTTCAATATAGCAAAAATAAGGACTCTGAACAGTCTATCCCACCTAATTAGTTTGCTCTCGTTGCAGTTTAATTTCATTTTGCCTCCACTATCATCTGATTAGCTGATGTGCAGAGAGGAAGGCTCAACTCCAGGAAATGTTTTCTCTAGTGTTATTTAATATGTATCGAGTAATCGAGATGATAAAAATTATCTTAACCTTAGCAGCAAATGAAAAAAGGTGGATCTAACAAATTAAAAATACAAATGGGTTCATTTGAAGTCAAGATTTAATGCAACTTTATTCATATTCTAGATGTTTTCTATGGGTTTTTCCTTTCATTTCATAAGGAAGATGGTCAAGGTTTGTGTTACTAGTAGATGATACGTTCACAAAAAGGGCAACTGACAGATATCCTGATTAAGAGCCTAGAAAAGAGTTGGCATGAATCCTTCCTGCGCAAGCTGGGTGTAAAAAATATCTTCTGTCGTCTAACTTTAGGATTACTAAGCATGGTGTGGAAGAAACAGGAGTGGAATAAGGGCGGTGAGCAATATGATAAGCCATAGTTGTGGTGTGATGTAGAAAACAATTTATGAGCTTAGTTAAGTTAATTGGTCGGCTAGAAGCTGGTTTAGTCGATTAGCTAGTGAAGTTGCTATATTCTAATTGCAACCAGACCTAGATGATGGAATGGACCATCTTTATATCTTTTCCCATTCAGTTGCAACTACTCGAGTTTTTTTCCTCTACTTTACTCGTCACTCAGTTACATCAACTCGAGATATCCATTGATGGAGCTTTCTTAACAAGAATAATAGTATAGAAAGTTTTCCTAATTCTGACATAATAAAGAATCTCGAGATTCAGGTAAATTTTCCTTATTTAATTGTTTATCTCATTTCAAATAGTTTAAGTTGACTTATTTCTGGAGCCAAGCATGTATCTAGTTTACAATCAATTCGAGACAAGTTATCTATTCTTATTTTTTACAAGGATAAGTGCTCGTACGTACCATAAGTAGTCACAGAGAAAACTCCCTATAAATCCATTCAGCAGCACAATCTCGGCAATAGAAGCTGAGCTTGGGAAATCAAACTTAGGTTCCAACCCAACAACATTTAATGGCCACACTGCGAAATAGAATAGGGTGTGATAAGAATTAGTAATACACAACCAATTCTTTAAGGTAAATATTCAAATTAAGGATGGAAATGATATGACTGGTTGCATCACACTTGAATTCTGGAAGTTCTTTCCACTGGTTTACCAAATATTTGCATTCCACGTATTACGGAAAAGATTGTCTGTCTTTCCCTTTCAAGATGCATCAAAAATATCAAATTTCTATCCTCATAAAAGATCAGACTCTGTAAGAAGTAAACTCTAATTGAGCGAGCTTCCAATATATTACAATTTCTACATGAAGCCTTCAACTCTTCACCTACTCTTAAACTCCATTCCAAGTCAAAACTAAGATGATTAAACTAGAATGGTGCTATTAAATGGAACACTATATCATTGTTACATCAACTTAGACCTAGAAGTCCTAAAAGAACACATTTTCCACAAAGACAATTATGAGGCACAAAGAGATCAACTCCAAACCTAAAAGTACCAAAAGAACTAAATGAAATCAGTTCCAAAATTTGAGCACTACCTAAAGAAAATTGCCTTCCTTACAAGAACAATGGTGTTACCTTTTATTAGATACCCGAAGAATTTAATCTTTAGCCATATTTTCCCTCTTTCTTTCCCTTCGATATATACTTGGGGTTTTTTCTGCATCCACCTCCGTTCCCAAACAAATTAAAAGGATCAAGAACTGATCTCATTGTTCAATTCTTGTGCTTCTCAATTTATACCAACTCATAAGAATGCTATTACTTCTTAATAGACCAAACAGAGAGAAGAATGGGCAGCATCTCTAATTATGAAAGAAAAATTATGAAATTCATGCTGTCAGTGATTTCCAAAATGTACATTACCAAGCCACCAAAGGCCAAACAAAGTGAACAAGCCTAGATATCCGAAGAACCTCTCCATATCTGCCTTTTCTCCTGATCCAGTAGATTTCTTGAGGAGCACTGAGTACATCAAGAAAACCGTACACAGATCAAAATAAGAACCATGAAACTAGAATTATCAATGTAAAATAGAAGCGACAATATCATCCCAAACCTGATAAATATCCTACCTGTGAATAGGCCATAACACACTGCTGAAAGAAGACCAAAAACATCGCCGATAATGGAATGTTTAGCAGTCCTGTCAGCAGCGATGAACCCACAAAAATGATGCACTAGTTTTAGCCACAAAAAGTAGCAGATGGAAGTAAATTGAGAATTCCCTAATATTTGTAATCCATACAAATTGAAAAGCCAATTATGTCAAGAACCAGACAGGTTAGCTATGACCAAGAATGAAGTAAATGTATTGTGGAATTTATTTGTCAGAGGGGCAGGTTATTTTGTCTTAAGTAATATAGAAGCACAACTTTTGCAGTAATAACATATCATTGTATAATGGAAGAACAAAATGTTGCAGTACTGAAGAATTTAAGATGCTATAGATGGTAAACTTGAATAAAGCATCTTCTACCGCTGCACATGTAGTTTATTCCTCATGTACTTCAAATATCATCTTAGTGAAACAATTAAATCCTCTACAAAAATCTGACACTAGTATGGATAGCATTTTTCAGCATAGAATATCTTAAATGAATGTTGGAAAGTTTGCATAATAAAAATGGTTGGTTTGGAAAATCTCAAGACATAGTAACAAGACCTTAATACAGATAAACAGATGCTTATTTAGAACTTACACAGATACACTCAGCATTTCATCTGGAGCCCATGTTTTTCCAACCGTAGTCAGTGCTACACCACTCATACTAACTATAACAGCAACCATCTTTGAAATATCTATTGAATCCTGGCCAAGGACTGCCCCAAAAAGAAGCGTAAAAAGGCCTGATGTAGAGGTCAAAATGGTAGTACTAGCCACACTCGTATTTGCCAGTGCAGAGTTGGAAAAATACTGCAAACCATAAAGCAATTAAGTTGGGAATGCTAGTACTAACTACATAATCTATCTAGCAGAGATAGAATAGGACAAATAACAGCCAGTCACCTAGATCAAGACAGAATATGGCATGTAACAGCCAGTGATCTGGATACATGGTCATTTTGATCCATAATCAGACCAACTCAAATGATGATAACTTGACTGCTCAGCAAGTGTGTGAATTCATTGTCTGCCCATTCTCATCCATCATACATTTTCAAGAATAGGAAAGGACATATCAATTGAGAAATTCTAAATATGGACAAAACAAGTTCTCCATCTTTGTGATCTTTCTGGTTTTTACTTTACAAGTAAAGAAAACTCTTTGTGAATTTTCTGTTTGGAACTATTTTTTAAATAATCATTTAATATTTTTTAGAGTTCCTAACAGGAGATCTTACAGATGCTCAATGCTTCGTATATATTTTAATCAAGCAACAAACATTTGTTTTCTAAAACCAAGACACCATAAAATCTAGTACATGGTTAAACAAATGAGTATGACCATGAATCTTGAAGCAAAATCGATTAAGGATTGGGCAGTGAAGCATATCCCTTCCAGAACACATCTGCCAGCTTAGTTTTCCCCCTTTTTGCTCGCTATTTTGTTTTGTTTTTGTTTTTGGGGAGAGGGTGGAGATATAGACAGAAATGTTTGATTTAAGTACTGACAGCAGTATATTGTTCAATATAAATGTGTTAGATTATTATAGACAGAACAGTTACCTCTGTTGCAAACCATATGGGAGCAAGATACAAGCTACATTTGACAAGGTCCCATGAGTTATGTTCATCGCCCTTTTTAAGAAAGTGGAACCCATCTTTATGGTTAATATCAACCAATGGAAAGCCTTCTTCCGGGTCGTTGTAATCCATGTCTGCTATAGAATAATCTTTCAAAGCTCCTTCAGGATGATCATGCATATCATTGAGTTTAAGTGGCACACCTAGAACTGAGTCCTCGTCGAGGAGAAGATTATCAGTGTACAGTTTCTTCAAGAAACTCTGCTCTAATAAACTGCATAACCGATCTTTACAAACTGCTACAGGCAGGAAGATTGCCATAAGAGAGATCCCCAGATATGTAACCGCAAAAGGTTGTTTGTACTCTACAAAAATCTTCTGCAGGACATAAACGGAGTTATCTTAGTATCTCCTGTCCAAAAACCACTGCATCATATGATTGCAAATCTTCAAAATCGAGATTAAAAAAAAAAAAACAGAAACCAGTGAACGACAAAAGGAAAGTTGTTTAGATACATACTAAAAGAAAGGATCAGCACCTTCAGCATAGGAACTACAACATAATAAAACAACATTCTAAGTTTCCCTTTTGCAGCAGCTCGAAAGCTTTCTTTACCAATACTCCCCAAGTAATTGTTGTTAAGATACCATTAATGGAAAATTTATAAAACTGACATGATGTAACGGAGACATAATTCGTTTAGCAAAATGTTGGTTTCAGACTAACTTGCCTCAATGTACTCTTATATATATCAGTCCAATAAAACATCGCAATAGTGCATGATAAATTTGTTGCCTCTCATTTCTTTCACAACAATTGATAGTAGATAAAGATAATAATAAGATAACTACGCCAACAGAAACCAGAATAAGGTACATAACATCTCAAAGCCGATGACTAATCAAATGATGTTCTTTTAATGTATAAATACAATGGATACTCTACAGGGAGTATAATTCATAAGACTTTGTACGATGATGATCGCAACGACAAAAAATAATTCTACATAATGCTACTACCTGAAATTTGGACAGCTATTCACATGACTTTGCCTGATTATTACCAAGTACATTTCAATAATGTTTAGATTTCTGAACTTCCTTATGCAAATGATTTCAGTTGCTTGACTATAGAAACAAACCTTTTCCACTGCTTACCAATATATGGGGCAAAATTTCACTGCAAACCCTTACCTTTCTCTTTTGCATTTCTGCGAGACTTAATGAACCAGACTGCATGTTATTCTATAATGTTCTTCATGTTAGAACCAAATTACGGAAGAAGAAAAGGAAATTTTAAGGTTATAATACTTCTTATCAATCTTTCCCTATCTGGTTGTTGTATAAGAAAACAAATTTCGCATTCAGCTATGAAAAGAAACAAGCACTCCACAAAATAAACCAACTATATACTTCCTCTGTCCCACCACAATTTATGTGGCACAGTTGGAATATTGTGATTCAAACTTCTAAAAGTTTACCATGAATTCGGACACAAAAGCTTTTATATTAGTAGTATAAATCATAATAACTACACAACATAAAATATCAAAAAGAAATGTGTTGTTGACTCTTGAAATTCCAACGGTGCAACATAAATTAGAACAGAGAAAAAACGCCAAAAAGAAAATTACTAAGGCTTACCTGAGTAACTTCAGCAGAAGCAACCCATACAAACACAAAAACTCCTATAAGCCCTAATCCAACATTGTATTTCCAAACCATTTCTTAAAAAACTCACAAACAAAGTTACAGAAAAATAATTGTAATTTAGAAAAATATAATTGGTGCTCTGAGCTAGATAAAGCTAGTAAAATTTGTGAAGAAAAAACTCCAGGCTTTTGGTGGTTTTCTTAGGATGTAAAAAGGGGAGAAAATGTGTAATGAAGAGTTTGGAGTTGAAATGCATTTAATATTGAAGTTGACTGACATTACCCAGAAAAACTTAAACGTGAATAGTGCCTTTTTATTTGACATCTAAATTCATAGAGTATATTTCAGAGACGTACGGGAGTGACATTGTAACTAACACTTTTTGTCTGTTTGAAAGGTTGTTACATAGGGATCCTATTCTTTAATTCACATTTTTCCGGTTTAAGACCACAAGATTTGCTACCTTTGACATGAAAACATTAAGAAATAAAAATATTATATATTTTATTAGAAATCTTTTTACCGTTATCTAAATAAAAATTGATGAAGATTATTATAATTTTATATATATGAGATATATTTTCAATTAAAAATTTACATTGAATTATCTATTTTAATTGTTAAAATGATATTAAGAAAAAAAAATGATAATTTCCTATTTATTTATTTATTTATTAATTAAAGTGATTTTAAAAGAAAAGAAACAAGAACTAAATTCTTTAATAGGGATAGAGCATTTTTACGAAGAAAAGGGTAATTTGACCTATTAAGTAATAATGGCATTTTTGAGCCAAATCATTGGCAGTATGAGCATTTTTGGACCAGATTATTAGCTGTAGACATTTTTCTTTATCCTTTTTTCGTAAGAAAATTTACACGATATATTGTTTATATATATAGAGAGAGATGGTTAGATAGATTGATTATGAATTCCTAAATTAGAAGACTCGAGATCGACTTAGCTGTAATAGAATCTCAAAATTCACCTTCACTGAGCTGAAGGACTGTTTTTTTCGTTGGTCGATAATGTTTGAAACGAATCCAGATGATTCGAAGTGCACTATTAACCAAATGAACATATAGGAAATAGATACAAAAAAGGAAGTGAACGATGAAAAAATTGCAGGGCAAAAATTGAATTGATGTAATTAAATTTAAATTTAAGCAGGTGGTACAAAGCTTCTCTGTCTGAGCAGTTGATGCATGTCATGGACAATCTTAAATACAACATCAGGCTTTGCTAGCCTTATAGCATTTTGAGACATCACTTTTAGTTCATCTTGTCTCGGACCAAACCACTCACCAACTCTTTTGGTGATTTTGAGAATTTCCCGCATCCCTTCTCGGCAACATATGCCACATTTCCAGATTCCTGCAATAACCAAAAGAAAAAAAGAGGAGATAGCTACGACTACAACACAGGGACAGATCAAGGTCTTGAATAATAGGAAACTTACTACTGGATGTCATGTAGTGATCATAGCATACTGGAAATTACTACTCAATTGACTTATAAACCACTTGTAATTTGACTGACATTATTGACACAACTTCCAGGATTAATACTTCTCGCAGAACTTAATCACTTGGATTATGTAACGTCGAAAAGTATGGTATCAGCAAGAAGTCTAAATGAGTGTTGCATATAAGAAGATAATTTACCACATAAAAAGCTTAATAGTGAACTACTTAAATGAAGTTTAGGGGTGAAGGTGGAATTTAATAAGTTTGACAGCTTATAGTGAACTACTTGAATGATAGATGAAAAGGGGTTGATTGACTGGTCAATGGAGAGCTTCATAAAGAATATGCAGCAAACCTCATACATGCACCTTTTAGATAATACGATAAAAGTCTAGTAGAGAACCTGCTAGAAAGTAAAGTTTCAAGTGAGACATCCCTGGACAGGAATTTTCCAGTCTACTGAATTCAATCTATCGGCAAGCTTCT